AAAAGCAGACTGGGCCCTGTGATGGATAGTAGATAGAAAGTCTACTTTTGGGGAAAGAGTGGTGGCCATCAGTTCTGTGGAAGGAATTTTCTTCTCAGGATCTTTTGCTGCTATTTTCTGGTTAAAGAAGAGAGGTCCCATCCCTGGACTTACATTTTCCAATGAGCTTATCCCAAATTTATCTTTTTTTAACTTACTATTAATTCATTTAGTATGTGTAATGCTTAATATGTTTCCTCTTTCATTAGTTCATAAGCATTATAAGGGCAGGATTTTTGTTAGTTTTGTGATGGATAGTAGATAGAAAGTCTACTTTTGGGGAAAGAGTGGTGGCCATCAGTTCTGTGGAAGGAATTTTCTTCTGAGGATCTTTGCTACTATTTTCTGGTTAAAGAAGAGAGGTCCCATCCCTGGACTCACATTTTCCAATGAGCTGATCAACAGAGATGAAGAACTTCTCTATGACTTTGCTTGCCTAGTGTTTCAGTACTTAGTAAATAAGACTTCAGAAGAAAAGGGTGAGGGAGATCATTGTTAATGCTGTCAAAATTGAGCAGGAGTTTTTAACAGAAGACTTGCCAGTTGGCCTCATTAGGATGAACTGTGTTTTGATGAGCCAGTATATTGAATTTATAGCTGAAAGATTACTTATGGAACTTGGATTCTCAAAGGTTTTTCAGGCAGAAAATCCCTTTGATTTTATGGAAAACATTTCTTTAGAAGGGAAAACAAATTTCTTTGAGAAAAAAGTTTCAGAGTATCAGCATTCTGCAGTTTAGAAACTACAGAGAATGTCTTTACCTTGGATGCAGATTTTTTAAATCCTCCCCCACTGAAAGGCCTTATAACCTGTAATGGGTAAATGAAAGTCTATTTTTCTCTACTTAAAAAAAAATATTTACTTTAAAGACATGGGAATTTTATCAAAAGGAAATCTAAAAAAAATTTTAATTACATTGAATTCCTATAAATACACTCTAATTTTCCTGTACAATAAGAGTTACTTTTTGTGTTGTTACTAGAATATATTGGGGTGTAGGGTCAGATATGGGTTTCAGGTTCTGCCCTTACTCCTTTTTGTTACTCTTGGCAGATCAATTAATCTCTGTAAACCTCAGAGTACTTATTTTAAAAATAGGTATAATAATAGATCTTAAATTCATAGAGTAATATGAGGATTAAGTGCTTAGTTAGTACTACCACCACCACTATCGTTATTATTGATAGGGTTAATTGTAGTGATATTATAACATGTCCTCTCCCACAAATAATTATGATTCTAGATCCTAAGATCTAGAAATAATTAGCTCCCTATATTTTTACTATTTTGGGGAAGAATGTAAGAATTACCTTAGAAAGATCATAATTATCATCCACATGAGAATAACTTCTTTGAATTTCTCAGTAGAAATGAAATTTAGTTCTTAGTCTCTTTAGGAGGGATACTCATGGAGTAGAATCTGGAGGTTATCATGGCAGTTGACCTTATAAGCAAAATGATTCTTCTACTTCAGAATTAAAATGGTAACTGTTGCTAAATTTAGCCTTGGAATGTTTAGAACCAGGATGAATTGGCTAGAATAGCATTTCCCAAAGAATATTCTCAGAGCTATTAGCCCCTCTAGATATGTATGTGTGTGTGTGTGTGTGTGTGTGTGTGTGTGTGTGTGTGTGTGCGCGCGCACTCGTGCAAGAAAAAGGAATTCGGAGGTCAGATGAATTTGGGAAATGCTGTACACTGCATCTTTCTAGAATGTGCATTTAGTACCTCAAAGACTGAGAAAGTCTACAGTCCAGATACTAATTTCTCCTTGTACATTCCAAACATACTCAACACAGATATGTTTTTCACCTGTTAAGATCCCCTCAGCTAATTTTCCTCAAAACATACCATGGGAAAAGCTGCCTAGAATCATTTCTACAAACAGGAAATGGACTAAGACAGGGAAAATTTTTGGTAGGGATTATTGAATCATTTCAGATTTGTATCAAGCTGAGGAAGGTACCCAAGACTGATTTCAGCTACATTTCTTAATATTCTTAAAATTCTTTTATGCTATTAAAAAAATAAATAGAAGTGAGCCATGTGAAGTCTAGGATAAACTTGAAGATTGCATTAGTCGTTTGTCTTTGCTTCAATACAGAATAAAATGGAATTAATGTAAGCTTTTTCCAATCTGTGAGGTCCTGCAGTGTATCCTGCAGATATTCCCTCACCTGCACTTTTGATGTCCTCATTTAATGGCATTTTCAATCTTGGCATTCTAAGTACATGTAAGGATTAATCTCTTCCAAACTCATTAAAACCCAGAATGCTGGAAGTTGTGTTTCTGGTTTGTTGTTTTTATAATTGTACTTTTGTTTGCTAAGTCACTATTGTGCATAGCAGGGTGTAGTAGAAGTACAGTAAATCAAGTTTTGCACAGAACATTCACATTTACAGGAATACTCACGTTTAGAGATTATGAACAAAACTGTGCTTTTGTCCCACTTTTAAAAAGTAAAGCAATAGAATCACTATGTGTGCTTCACTTTCTATTAAATATGAACAGCTGAGTATATAAGAGGCTCATTCAGTGGATCAAGAGACAACACTATGAATACCTATGTAATATGTGGTCAAATCTAGATGCTAGTGGGAGTTGGACCTCTGATCCTGACCTGAAGAGAGGACTTATTCATTACATAAATTAACAAGAGAGGGGAGGATATGGGTCTGCGTTCTATCTGTTGACAAGTAAAATGAGCAATTCATTAGTTTTTTGGTTGTCTGAAAAAATATGTTTTTGTAAGAAATTAAAAATACAAAAATTGAATTAAATATAGTCATAATGTCAGCATCCAAGTTGAATAGACCAAACACATGAACATGAACTAGAAATAAAGGATATCTGAACAATATAGTAGATTTATTTACTACAACATTGATTTTTGGATTCTATGAACCAAAAAGGTCTTATTTTCAAGAGAAAAAAAAAATGGAGTAACTTAGAGGTTTCTAAAATTCAGCTGTTAAATAAAACACAAAAAATCACATAAGCACTGGGAAAGGTGGCACATGCATGTAATCCTAGTGACTCAGGAGACTGAGGCAAGAGGATTGTGAGTTCAAAACCAGCCTCAGCAAAAGTGAGGTATTAAGTAACTCAGTGAGACCCTGTCTCTGAATAAAATACAAAATAGGGCTGGGGATGTGGCTCAGTGGTTTATGCCCCTGAGTTCAATCCCCAGTACAAAAAAAAAAGTATATAAGCTATATTATCTGACTGTAGAGGTATAACTATTGAATTACTATAATTTATAAGGCATATCTGACTATAGTGCTAAAAAGAGAATAGAATAAAAATATAAAAATTATACTGATTACAACAGAACTAGAAAATAATACTCATATCAAGGAGATTATAACAAAAAAATTTAATTGAAAGGTTTATAAGAACAGACACTGCTGATGATTATTAAATGAAGCCCAAGTGTTTGATGAGGCAAACTAATAGTATTAAACTCTTCTTTTATAAATTAAAATAAATTTAATAAATGGGCTAAAGTTGAAATCCAAGAATTGGGAAATATAATTTTTTAAAAAGCAGCTGAAGATAACAAATGAAATTACTATGAATAAGTGTAGATGTGATAAAATTAAAACAAAAATAAATAAGTAGACTGAACATTGACTGGTTAATTGAATAAAGCATCCTAAGTGGCTGTGTAGTCTTTCTGATGTGGGGATTATCATTTGAAAAGCAAAAATATTCTACTTCCTGCCTACATACTATATTTCTCTTCCCCCAAATGAGTACCCATCCTAGTGGTTTATTATCTACACTTTGAATCTAACTTCTGCCAGTTTAAAGTGTGAAAAAAAGATAGTTTTGTTTTTATCTCTTCAGATATACATCACATACTTTAGAACTTTCTTTTTAAAATTCACTATTGAGTGTTTTGATATTCACAGGGTTGTTCAATCAGCACCTCCAAGGAGCATCCTGTAGACGTTAGCAGACATTCTGTATTTCTCCTTCCTGCTTGTATCTGGGTTTCTACTATTTTAGTTTTTGTTTCCACGGGTTTGCCTGTCCTGAACAGTTTATTCGAATAGAATCAGATTAGAGTGGCATGTTGGCACTTGGCCTCTTTCATAAACATTTTAGCATAATGATTTCAAGACTCATTCATACTTTGCATGTATCATCTCTCTTCATTTTTAGGAATGATCGTGTTCTATTGGTTGGCTGTACTATACATGATCATCCAATTGTCACTTAATGGACATTTAGATTATTTCTACTTTCTGGCTATTATAAGATACTGCTATTAGAAATGCTCACACATGTTTTATGTGCGTTTGTTTTTTATTTTCTTGGACACTACCTAGAAGTTGAAGTTTCAGGTCATATAGTAAGTGTATGTTTCACTTTTTCAGGAACTGCCTGTTTTCCACAGTGGCTGCATATTTTTACATTCCCACCAACAATGTCTTAGGCTTCTAATTTCTCCAAACTTTGTCAACATGTTATTGTCTGTCTTTTTGATTATAGCCATACTAGTGAGTGGGAGGGAAGATATTATCTCATTGAGGTTTTGATTTGCATTTTCATAATAACTAATGATGTAAAGTGCTCTCAAGTGCTTATTGGCCATCGTTCTATCTTCTTTGGAGAAATGTCTAGTGAAATTCATGGTCCATTTTGGAGGGATGGAAGATACTGGGGATTGAACTCAGGTGCACTCTACCACTGAGCCACATCTCCAGCCCTATTTTGTATTATATTTAGAGACAGGGTCTTATTGAGTTGCTTAGTGACTCACTACATTGCTGAGGCTGGCTTAGAACTCATGATCCTCCTCCTGCCTCAGACTTAACAGGAGTGTGCCACTGCACTTGGCCTCTTGGTCCATTTTTAAAGTGGGTTATTTTTGTTTTTAATCAATTGAGTTGTAAATGTTATTTACATATTCTGGATATATGTGTATATTTTTTTTCAAAATTTTTATCTCTTGTTTTAAAGCAAGATCACAAAGATTTATATGTATGTTTAAGAGTTTTGTAGTGTTCGTGCTTACATTTATTTTTAATTAGTTTCTTCATTTACTTAATGGTTATGGTGATTGGCAACTCTTACATTTAAATATATGAACCATTTTCATTTGTAATCTATTCTTGCACATATGCTGGGTAATAAGTTAGCTTTATTATTTGCATTGAAGATCCAGCTTTCTCAACACTGTTTGATGGAAAAAATTCCTCTTCCCATTGAATTGTTTGAATACCCTTGTTGAACATGAGATGTGAAGAAGTAGATATGTTTATTTCTGAACTCTAAATTCTATTCCATATTTCTGATCTTATGCTATCCCCACATAGTTCTCATTAATGTAGCTTGTAGTAAGTTTTTAAAATCAGGAAGTATATACCCTTCAACCTTGTTTGTTCAGTTATTTTGGCCTGTTGTTAAACCCTTGCATTTCCCTATGGATTTTAAGATCAGCTTGCAAATGTCTGGACAAACACCAGGTGAGACCGTCATTGTGATTGTGTTGCATCTGTTGACCCATTTAGTGTGATTGTTCTCTTAACCACATTGCATCCTCTTATCCATGAAAACCCAGACTGTCTCCCCTTTCTTCACTGTCTCATAGTTTTTCATGCACAAGTTTTGCACTTCTTTTGTTAAATTTATCCCTCAATAGTTTAGTCATCGTTAATTTCACTTTTGAATTATTACTATTATACAGAAATACAACTGATTTTTGTGTTCTGACTTTGTGTTTTGCCACTTTGTTGAACTCATTTGCTAGCTCTAATGGTTTCTTTTAAAAATGTTTCTCAAGATTTTCTATTTACATTCCATCTCATCTGCAAATACAGATTGTTTTACTGCTACTTTTTCAGGATGCTTGTCGTTTCTTTGTTGTTGTTTTTTTTTTCCTCCCTCTATTTATTGCCCTGGATACAACCCTCAATACAATAAATACATATAGTAGTAAGAGTGGGCATTCTGTCTTATTCTCCATCTTGGGATGTTTTCACCATTAATTATGTTGACAGTGTTGTTCGTTGGTTTTTTTTGGGGGGGGGGGTTGTTTGTTTTAATTATTGTCCTCCCTATCAATTTGAAGACATTGTTCTCCTTAATTTGGTAAGTGATTTTATCTTGAAAGCATTTTGGTAAGTGCTTTCTCTGCATCTACTTAGATGTCATGTGAAGATATTTATTCTTTATTTTATTAAGGTGATAGTATCTTGATTGATTTTTGGATGTTGTATTCCTAGGATATATTCCTCTTGGTCACAGAGTACAATCCTCTTGGTATGTTGCTACACTCCATTTGCTAGTATTTTATTGGGATTTTTCATAATGAATGTTTGTCTGCAAATTTTTTTCCTTTCATGAATTTAGTCTGATTTTAGTCTTAGGATAAAAATATCCCCTTAGAAACTGAAAGGTGTTTTCTGCTCTTCTGTTTTACAGTGTCTGGTGAAGTATTAGTTTAATTTTTGAATATTTGGTAGAACTCACCAGTGATGCCATCTAGTACTGGACTTTGAGTGACATTTTTGTTGTCTTAGGTATATTCAGATTTTCTTTTTTCTCGTGAGTTCATTTTGATGTTTTCTATTATTGTAGGAATATGACTTTCTTCATTGGAAAGAACAGAGTCATGTAGTATTCAGGTGATTAAACTTGTGGTAGTCACATCACTCAATCTGTTAGCATTTAAGTGTTCATAGTATTCCCTTATAATCCTTTTATTTCTATCATGTTGTTTGTAGCAGCTCCTTTCTTAGTCGTTATTTTACTAATTTGAAATTTTTTTCTTTTCCTTAAGTCAATCTGCCTAAAGATTGGCCAATTTTGTTGCTTTTTCAAATGAAGCAACTTTGGCCTATGTTGACTTTATATTTTCATTTCATTTACTTACTTCCTTGTATTTGCTTTTGTTTTATTTTTCTCTTTTAGGGTGGTTCTTTGTGTATCCATAGGTGTTTAACTTCACTAGTGGTATTAATTTTTAGGTATTTTTCTTTTGTTTTCTTTGATAAACTCAACTTTAGCTTTTATAGAACAATGTAAATCCACTCTGCAAATTCTAGAGTTTAATAATTAATAAACACACCACATTTTAGATACTACCTTGCTGCAATTCACCTCTTTGTGCATTTTCCTTAATGGATCCTTGAGAAAGTTTCTTAGGCCTAAAGTGCTTCCCAGAACAGGATTGGAACAGCTGTCACTAGTAAATACTGATTGCTCTCCTCTGTGTTGGTGTATATTCCTATCAAAGTGCATATGAATTCCTATTTCCTCACATTTTGACTAATAATTTGTGTTAGTTTTGTGCAAGTGCAAAAAAAAATACCTGAGATAATCAACTTATGAAAACAAAATGTTTATGTTGACTCACAATTTTAGAGGTTTCAATCTGTGATCACTTGGCCCCATTGCTCTGGGCCTGTAGTGAAGCAGCACTTCAGACAGAACACATGCTAGAGCAAAAGCACTCACCCAACAGCCAAGAAGTTAAAAAAGAGGAAGAAGGAGGTAGGACTGTACTATCTCCTTGGAGAGCACATACCCAGGGACTGAATGGCCACCCTCAAGGCCCTACCTCTTAAAAGTTGCACCATCTTTCAAAAGTGCAAGCTGGGGACCAAGCCATTAACACATGGGCCTTTGGGGACATTTACTAATCAAACTATAGCATAATACATTTTAGTATTTTTATTTTGATTTTAATCACCATGTTATTTTGATTTTAATTTTAGCCAATATCAAGGTTATATATTCTCATTTTATGTTTCTCCCAATAAAGACAATAGAGTCACATGATTATAAGCTTTTGGACTTCCTCACTTGGAGTTTGTTTTTATTCTTATTAGTCTTATTATTAGTTTATTTTATTCTTATTACCAATTATTACCTTTGCCTGCTTTGTCAAGAGCCATCAAATATTTATTACTTTGTTTCATGTTAGTTTCACCTACGGAGGTATCTCTAAATTTATCATTCTATATTTAACTATTTAGAAATTTGTTATTTAATTAAATGCTTCTAATTTGTTGTAGTTAAATTTAACATTCTATTTGTTTAAAAAAGCTTTCTCTTTCCCATGGATTTTAAAGGTGGTTCCCTAGTTTTTCTTCTCTTAACTTTGTAGTTGTAACTTTCATTTTTTTCTACCTATAGCATGAGGGAACATAACTATTTTTCTTCTATTGTGACCCAAATTTTAAAAAACAGTAAAAATAACTAACATTACTCCAGTGATAATTGCTACAACTTCTGTCATATATCTAATGTTTAGCATAGATTATTTTGTTTCAACACTACCTACTATTTATTTTAGGCACCTTTCAATGTTGGAACCACATTTTTCAGGGGGAAGGGTGAGGTTATAATCTGTAATGAGTAGTATCATCTGATGGGACAAATCCTAGCTCTTTACTCTTCCTTTTCCAATTATCTTAACCATATGCATTATTCTTTCAAAAAAGTTAAAATTGGGTCAAAAAATAAAAGGTTTTAAAATGATGAACTGTAGATTAAGATATCATCATAATGTTTATCATAAGTCAAATCATCTGTTATTATGATATGTATTCCCATTAATTAAAATCTTCTATATACTTTGGCAGAAATTTTAACATGTGAGTATATAACTGCAAACATCCACAAATTTGAGTTAGATAATTTCTATTTTTCTGCAGTTTCCTGTTCTCTACAATATACTAATGAAGCACTGGCAACTGTTTAAGAGAATTAGAACAGAAATGATTAGAAGCAAAAGTAATAATTTAATCAAAAGTAATTAAAGCCCTCTGTTTTAAGAAGACTCTTCATTAATAATTTAGAAAATGTTATGATTTAGATATGTCCCTCAAACTCTCATGTGTGAGAGAATTTACTTCAGAGATGAAATGATTTGACTGTGAAGGATGTAACCTAATGACTGGATTAATTCACTGTTATAGATTAATTGTGTGATAATTTTAGGAAGGTATGATGTAGCCAGAGGAAGTAGGTCATTAGAAGGTGTGCATTTGGGGTTCATATTTTGTCCCTGGTGAGTACAGCTCACTGTCTACTTCCTGGTTACCATGTCCTGATTTGCTTTCATTTACCTTCTGCCATGATATTCTGCCTCACCTCAGGCCCAGAGCTATGGTGTCAGCCAACAAGGGACTGAACTTCTGAGCCAAAATAAACTTTTCCTCCACAAAGTTTTTTTTATCAGGTCTTTTGGTCACAGCAATGCAAAGGTGACTAAAACAGAAATTGTTACTGAGAAGTTGGATCATTGCTGTGACTAACCTGATCATGTGACTCAAAAGCTTTTGTTGCTGGTTGGCAGGAATTTTTCAAAATTTAGAGAAACAAGCTGGAAAAAGCTTTAGCTGTTGTTAATGGGGCTTAATGGGAAATTCTGATGGGAGCTCAGAAGACCAAAATACTGATAGGACTGTGAACAGTAAAGATTGGCTCATGAAGTTTCAGAGAAGGAAGACAACTCTGTTGCAAATTGGACTGGAGGTCATTTATGTTCCAATCTGGCAAATAAGTTGTCTACATTTTGCCTATGGCTTGAGAATATCTGTGAGTCTGAATTTAAAAGTGATTGACTGATTAATCTGGCAGAGGAGATTTTAAGATAGCACAGCATTCGGCGGTGGTATGGATATTGCTTGTCAGCTTTTTGCCAAGTTTGCTGTGATAATCAGGAGCAAAGCGCAGACCAGAAATATTTGGAAAGAGATCATAGGGACTAAAGAGATGCTAAGTATTTTATAAAAAGACAATAGGAAAGATGATTTGAAGGCATCTCAGGAACTGACAAGACCACGCCTATTTCAGGCTCAAAGATGAAAAAGTAAAAATTTTGTTAAGGAGAGACCATGGGGGCACCCACTCTGCATATCAGGTGCCTAGGACGTTGTTCCACTGTGTGGAATCACAGAGGCTTCTGCAGCTGCGATCCAAAGAAGCTTGGCTACAGCTCATGATGGTGGCAGACCTTGGGATTGACCACATGATTCTGATTTTACAGGAATGCAGGATACTGGAGTTAGAGGGTCATGGAAGCATCCATTAAGATTTCAAAGGAAGGCCTGGGAGGCAAGGTGAAATGTAGCAGGATCAGAATCTCTGTAGGAAGCCCCTGAGAGAGTGATGTGTAAAGATATGAAAAGGAAACCAAAGTGACAGTGGAGACCACTGAGATTAAAAGTTGCAGTAATGTGGAACACCTACTGAGGATGGTTACAGCAATGGAGCAGACAAGCCAAGAGCAAGGCCATGTGGACTATAATCAACAAGGTCATAGGGGCAGAGTTACACAAGCCTTCTGGAGAAACGTCATGTGTCCCAGATGCTGTATATTGATCTATAGGAAGTGTTTGCCTAGCTCAATCTGTGTCTTGCTTTGGTCCCATCCCTTCTTTCTATGTCTCAGTTTCTCCTTTGTGGAATGGAAATATTTACTCTGTACCAGTGTATATTTGGTATATGTGACTTGCCTATCTATAGGAAAAAACATGATCTTTATATGTAAAAACATCCACGAATTTGCCTTGAGTCTTAGGTGAAATTTTTGAACTTGAAGTTTTGGGTAATGCTAGAACTGTTGTATGGGAACTCTTGAAAAATGACTAAATGCATTTTGCATTGTAAACAGATGAGCATGAGGTCTTGGAAGCCTGAGTTGAATATTATGGTTTAGCTATGAAGTATCCACAAAACTCATGTGTGAGACCATTCAAGAATTTTCACAGGTGAAATGATTAGATTATGAGAAATGTGACCTAATCAGTGGGTTAATATACTGATAAGGATTAACTGGGTGGTAACTATAAGCAATTATGTTGTGGCTGGGGGAAGTAGGTCATTAGGGCATGCCTCTGTGGTTTGTATTTTGTTCCTGGTGAACGGAACTCACTTTCTTTATGGTTGCCATGTTCTGAGCTGCTTTCCTTTACCACGCACTTCCATCACGATGTTCTGCCTCACCTCAAGCCAGAGCTCTAGAGTTGAAATGAACCTCTGAAACTGTGAGCCAAAATAAACTTTTCCTCTGCTAAGTTGTTCTTTGTCGTCTTTGTCGTGTCTTTTGGTCACAGCAATGAAAAGATGACTAAAATAGAAATCTTAGCTTTTGTTTTTTTTCCTGATCTCAAATAACCTGGTATTCCAGACATTGAAGCAGGGGCCCTACTCTGTCCAAAGAGATACTTACAGCCAGGAAAAAGTTACAATATAGCATGTATTTAGTTGGTTGTTCATGTACAGGAACAAAGGTCAATTAAAGAAATTCAGTGTAAACACTAACAAGGGGATGGGGAACGTACCCAAAATAATGCCTGTGACAGCCAAACAAAAGGCTTGATTGGAAGCCTCGGCTGCCTTGTCATAGTATCTCAATTGATTGTAGCATTTCACCTGAGTTTCAGGGGAGACAAGAAACAGGAAAAGATGAGTTTAAAAAGAGATACTGGTTTGGGGTGGGCTGTGCATCTATAAGGACCCAGCCTAGGTGTCTGAACCTATAGGAAGTGCCATCTCTCAGGCTCCTAGCAACGAGGGAAAACAAGGAAGAAGCTGAGTCAGGGTCAGGACCAGGATGTAGAGGGAAAATAAGGATTGGTACTATTCAGATTCCCACCTGCCTAGATGAGATTACAGCTGCTGTGCCTAAGGGGAGGCAAAACAAGAGGGACAAGATGGACATCCACATGTAGGTGTCAGACTCTGTCTCTTCCTCTTCCTCGTCCTTGTCTTTATTGGCCTCATTTGTAGTCATTTGCTCAAACACCTGGGAGCAGAGAGTGGGTTAGGTTGAGTATGGCTTCTCTACTCTATTACCCCTTCCTGCTCCCTCACATTTCACCTTAACTCATTTTTCCTTGCCTCCTATACCATCTTCATTGACTCCCTTTAAAATCTTCGGCTCCATCTAGCTGTCACCACATCATCTCCAACTTTTCTCTATCCCATTTAGAACCTCCCTCTCCATTAGAACTCTCCACCTTCTGTGCCCTATAGTCCTGCTCTTTCCCTGTAACCCTTTCCGAGTATTCTAAGACTTCCTCCTTGTCCTCTGCAATTGCTTTGAAGATCTCCTCCAGCGTTTCTTAGGTGGCCTCTGCTATTACCCCTGCCCAAATCTCTGACTATGAGGACCCTTACTCCCTAAAACCTCCACTTATAAAAATTTTGTTTCTATAACACTGCTATTGTCCCCCAAAAAAACCCTTCTCTTTGCCCCATAACACACCCTACAAATAAGACCCTTATATTATCACTTTTCATCTGTAAAAATCTCCATTATAAACTCATTTTTCCCTTCTGAAATTCTCACCCTATAAAACTTCTAAGTTCACAATCACACTCTCATGATTCTCTTATAATACCCACCCCCCACGTTTCCCTATAAATCTGTCACGATTCTGCTCCAACCCATTATTGTATACCCATAAATTCCTCCACTCCCCACCAAGCCCCTCACTTGGCTTCTCTAAGACATTTCTCAACCACCTGTAAACTATGACTCCTCTCCCTTTCTATCCATAGCCTCTTTTCTGCTTCCTTACAAATCTGACCATGACTTCCTCTAACCCCTTGTTTCTACCCCTCAAACCAGCTTGCTGACTCTTTCAACTCCTCTATCAACTTAGAATAGCCTCCCTATTCTACACACGTGCCCCTCTAAATACTTTTCTGTCCACTTGTTAGCATCCTCTCTGCCCCCCATGACACCCTACATGCCCCACCTCTTCCCCTCTACCCCTTTTCCTCCTACTCCCCGCCCACCTCTAGTATTACTGGTGGGACTGACTCCTGGATTCCCAGCAATCACCAGCAACCAGGAATTGCCATAGAGACCAGACAAGCACCGCCTCTCATCCTGTATTTCTACTTCTATTGGCTGACTAGAACAAAAACTGACTGCTGATTGGTGGGATGGTCCTGCTCTCTCAGGTGATTAGTCAATTTGAAAATCTTTGTTTCCAACTTTTTGAAACGGACCTGTAAGTGGCTTCATCTCCTTGAACTTCCTTGTTTACAGGTTCCTGCTGAGCACCTTTGGGAGGAAATGATTATTTGGGACTAGAATGGTGTGGGCCTGGGAGTCTTGGATTGCACTAGGTTACCTTGAGCCAGAAGATTTAACCTGGAGTCGAAGGGTTAAATTGAAGAGTTATCCTCACTGTGATTGACATCTTTTCAAGTGCTTGTTTTCCTGCCAACCATGTCAGTATCTTCTTTGGTGATTAAGCGTCTCCTTCTTAAGTCTTTCACTCATTAAAAACAAAACAATACAAAAAACTGGGTTGCATTTGTTTATTTATCTATTTATTTTTCCTTTTTTTATTAGTTGCACATGACAATACAATTTGAATCAAATGGGGTATAATTTCTCATTTTTCTGAGAGTACAGGTTGGGTTGCTTTTATTATGGTTAAGTTTTGAGGGTTCTTTTGTATATTCTGGATACAAGTCCTTTAGAAGGTATGTGAATGCAAATATTTTCTACTGGCTTCTAACTTCTTTTCTTCTGTAAGAAGACTTTCTGCAAGAAGATAACATCAATGACCCCATAATGTTTTATACACAATGACTGGCATTGTGTATAGATGCAGTTAATAATAATGGCAGAAGTGATGTTTCTGTTACAAGTTTAGAAGTCAGGAAAATTTATGCATTTCTCTCTATCTGATCTCTGTCAGCACCAACTGAATAGACTGGGCTAAAATGTTGGGGGAATGATACACCATATGTCTTGGTTAAGGCCATCCAGATAAGTGTTAGGTTTGTTATAAATATATGAAAGAATTAAGCCGTAATCACCAGATAACACCAACCTTACAACAAACTGACTGCTGGTGGGAGTGTGGGAGCCCAAATGAGATGATTAAGAGAGTCAAGAACAATAGTACAAACTCATTTTGGGGTTGCTTATATTGCAATAGGAGCTTATTAAAAATAACTCATTAAGAGAAAAAGAAAAAAACAGACAATAGAAACATACCTTTAGATGATCCAGTTATTGGAGATATTAGATATGGACTTTAAAATACTTGTAATTACACACACACACACACACACACACACATATATATGTGTATATATATATATATATATATATATATTTAGTTGTAGTTGAACACAATACCTTTATTTTTTTTTTTTATGTGGTGCGGATCGAACCCAGGGACTCACACATGCTAGGTGAGCGCTCTATTGCTGAGCCACAACCCCAGCCCTGTAAATACTGTTTACACTGACATTCAACTAAAAGATCTTGTCAAGAGAAAGAAAGGAAAATAATATGATGGTGAAACAACTTTAAGAGGATGAAAGCATATATTATGTTTCAACCTAGAATTCTATGGCCATTGAAAATATTCTCCATAATTAAAGTTAAAATATCACTGAGGAACTATAAAACCATAAAAGGAATTTTAAAAAGGGGTAGAATATCATCTATAAAGCAGCAATAAATTTGAATCAAATATTAATGGCACAGTACTTAACCCATTTCAAAAATTTTTTAAATGAGCCCATATTATCCCTCCTTCCTTAATCAAGAGAGAGATGAAGACCAAAAATAATTGGGACATTTGAATATGGTTACATGAAAGTTCACAGAAAATTGAAAAATAATACTTGTGGTAACTAAATTAGAAGTAAAAATACATTACAATAATTATATGGGAGAGGGACAAATAGAGTTGGGGAATCCAAGAAATATATAAAATTAATTATTACCAATATCATAAGTAAAAAGAGAAAGATCAACATAGATTTGATACATACAAATGGCTACAAGAATTCAGTCAGCCTTCTGTATTCATGATTCTATTTCTGTGATTTTGATCAACCATGGATCAAAAATATTAGGAAAAATTTTGTCTTTATTGAACATGTACAGACTTTTTCTTGCAATTATTCTCTAACAATACAATATTACAACTGTTTAGATAGCATTTACATTTGTTAGGCATTGTTAAGAAACCTAGAAATGATTTAAAGTTTATGAGAAGGTGTGCCTATACCATTTTGTACAATGATTTGAACATCCAAGAATTTTGGTATCTGCGTGAGGGTGATGGTGTCCTGAAACCAACTCCCATAGGTACCAAGGAATGGCTCTTGAAAAATTTCTTTTTTTTTTCTTTTTTTATTCTTGGTCGTTCAAAACATTACA